GGTGGGAAAGTTGGCTCTGGAATGTCTGGAATGCGGAACTCCTTCCAACGTTCCCCTTCCCTTCCCGCCTCTCCAATGCTCTCGCCTCCTGGCGCGCTCCTATGGCCAGCGCTGATTTGGTCAGCTGGTCCATAGACTCCGCCCTGGGCGCCCGGGAAAGTTCATCTTTCACAGCCGAAGAAAGCCCTTCTTCAAAGAGCATTTGAATGGGTTCCGCCGATAAGTCCCACCCCAATCTGTGAACAAGCATGGTGAACTCAGTCCAGTACTCACGGACAGATCGGCTTCCCTGTTTGCAACCCATTAACTGTCTGCGCACCACTCCCTTTTCAATATCGCTGGAAAACATCAGATCCATGGCGCGAAAGAACTTCATCGTGTCCTTTAAGACGTCACTATTCGCTGCCATCAGGGGTCCAACCCAGTCTCTCGCCCCTTTTCAAGATGCTCAATCACGAAAGCCACTCGTGATTCCTCGTCAGGGAATTCATCAAACTGCAGATTGAGGGCATATTGCATTTCTGTCCGAAAACCATGATAGTTTTTGGCTCCCCAAACTTCTGCACCAATCCTGGTACCTTTCTGGCGAACTGGGTGGCTTTCCCTTTTGTCTGCATCCAGAGCCCTCCTCTCCTCAAGCCTCGCCGTCTGCATCGCTAGCTGGACCTCCAACATCTGGTACCTTTCTTCCAGGCTTGGACCCGCTCCAGCTCCTGCTTCTCCGGTTCCGGCTGGGTTGCTCATGATGCCTTCTCCTGCACAAGCTGCTTTCAAAGACTGTCGGAATGCTGTGATGGGATGATGAGCTGCTTGTGCGTAAAATCGTATCCCCTCAGAGTTTGTTCAAGTCCACAAACCTCTGTCTGTGACGGAGCCCCTCAGACATGGCTACTCTAGTCACTAGCAGATTCCGACAGTGGTTGCTTTCGTAATCGCTTCCAACATAAAAGCTCCTTAACGGAAACACGTCTTCTGGAATCTCTGCGTGACAGTTTCTGGCGAGGAGTGGGTGTTCTTACAGGAGGTCCTGAAACCTCCCCACTGTTTTCGCTGGAAGTGTCTCTGAGCCATCCCTCCAGCTCAGCTCCTCTCCCCCTGCTGGTTCCCTCTTCAGCTGCTGCGTCTCTCCCAACCTGTGTGAGCCCTTTCACCTCCCTGCTGGTTCCCTCTTCAGCTGCTGCGTCTCTCCCAACCTGTGTGAGCCCTTTCACCTCCCTGCTGGTTCCCTCTTCAGCTGCTGCGTCTCTCCCAACCTGTGTGAGCCCTTTCACCTCCCTTCCGTCCGATGGCAGTTCCCTGACAGTATATACAGTTTCAATGCCTGTAGGTTTTGTTCCAAAAGGGATTTAAAATCTAGCAGAGGTTGGGAGTGGGGATAGCATATATACAATCCTTCTTCCATCCTCTTCATGTCTTCAGTTCAGCATCCCCACATTATAACTGTGTGAATGTGCCTTGAATCAAGTTAGATTTACAAGTGGTCATCTGATTGCTTCATCAATTGCCTTACTACACACTGAAATGTGATCTGAGTGAAGCAGTCAAATGACTATGTTGCCACAGCCTAACTGCAACAGCCATTTATTTTAGCCCTTAGATCAGCACACAAGAAAGGAGAATATCAGTATCAAGGAAGCTGAACTTGATAGAAAGATGTTGATTCCTTAGACACTAGACCTTTGGTATAAAGGTAAGAAGGGTAATAAGTTTAAAGAGGGCATTTCCAAGGAAATAATTTGAGGATTGCACCATAGGTCATGTTGTTGCAGCAGAGGGAAGCTAAGTTTTTAACAAATATTTTTGTGAATTATGGAGAAACAGGTGAAGTCTTAGTATTCTAGTGCCCTTGTATTCCACAGCTGTAAATACCTACATATTAATGACCACCTCTTATGTTTCCTTTCTGTGTTTTTGCACAAAATGCTTTAAGAGGTGTCCCATCAGGCAATCTCCACATGGTTTTCAGATACATCTACAATTCTGCGGCATAACAATTGGAAGAGGGACTACATGCTGTAGGATATGCCAATAAGGTCAGTTCAGTCTCCCTTTTTAAAAATTGCCTAGTAAAGCAGGACTTGTGTTTAGATAGGTAGAAATAACAGTGGAAAAAGATGGATTGCCTATTTTGTCAGTGTTAGAAGGAAGAAACTGTGGATTGTTCTACAGCAGAGGGGACTGAATGTGAAGAAGCTGAGCACCTTCCTTGGCTACAGAAGTCACCTCCTTTCTGCCCTCTCACTTTCAAACTAAAATAAAAATGTGGTGAGCTCAGATTAGATATCGATTACTGAAATAGCACCAGTTAAGATGCTTTATTTTCTGCTAGTCCAGCAAATTTATGATTCTTATTTCACTGAAATGATATTGGTTGAGTTAGACTGACTAGTCTTCAAACTCCTTGCCAAACTGCAATCGTCCATTACTTGTTCATAGCAGATGTCGTAGTAAGTAGTGAAGAGTATTAATTTAATTCTATTTCTTTATCTTTTCTCAGGCCTGAAAAATTAACTGGTACTTAAAATCCTGAGGTAAGTTATTGACCACAGGCATTCCAATTACCTCAGGAATACGCCAGGAATATGAGGAATATTAAGAACAACAGAAAATAAGAAGAGCCCTTCTGGATCAGACCAAAGGCCTATTTAGTCCAGCATTCTGTTATCATTGGTCAACTTGGTGCCTATGGAAAGTTGAAAGAAAGTATCAGGAAAGGTAAAACCAGCAGTGGTCATTGGGGTGCTGAAAGCAGGGCAGCATTGCATACTTGACTTCCCAATGTTGTAGGGTTTTCTTGGGGCAAGGGGAAACGCTATTATAATGGAATCCCCAGAACTGCCCAGACAGACAGAGAGTATGCGAACCCAAAAGGTATTCAGTTTTCTTGGGAATGAGGTCAACAGTGATTTTCAGGTATTTTGGTTGTGTGGGGGATGGGTTTCACAGCTTAACACTCCAGAAGGCCACCCCCAAATATCCCAAAGTTTCAAATATGCTGTCTGATCCTCAATGTGCATCTCTTCCAGGCCATGTCTGCACCATACATTTAAAGCACTTTTAAAATACTTTAACAGTTATACCTCCCCCCTCCCCAAGAATCCTAAGAACCAAAGCCTGTTAAGGGTGCTGAGAGTTAGGAGACCTAACATAGGGAATTGTTCATTAAAACCATACTGGTAAAACAGTTTCACTAACTGTTAATTTTTGCATTATAATTTCACTTTCACATGACATAAAAGCTTCTTCCAGAGATATAGCAGAATGCAGCTCAAGTTTAGTGCTCATTTTCATGTAATTTGCTTCCAAGAAAAAAAATCAATTTGCAAATAATAAGGAAATAAATGCTAAAGTTGCACCAATTTTTGGCTATATTTTACTTTTATATTGTGTGAAAATTAAAATACGTATAATAATAATAATAATAATAATAATAATTCAAATAAACAGGCAGCCCTGTTTAGGGAAGTTTTTTATATCTGATATTTTAATATATTTTTAATCTTTTGTTGGAAGCCACCCAGAGTGGGCGGGGTACAAATAAATTATTATTATTATTATTATTATTATTATTATTATTAATTTACTGTTAGGAGAAAAAATGAGAAAATGGAATAAACTGCTGTGTGAATGCAACCTATATCCAGAAAATAAAAATTACAGCAGTACTTCCCACCAGACCCATACCACCTGAGGCAGCAGTGGAGGAGACATTTTTAGCCACAAGTTATTGGTGACCACATTCAGTCTTCCACTGGATCTATGTCTTTCCACCTTCTTTTAAAAGAATATAAGAATGTTCTTGAAGAAAAATGGGCTTCTCGTTCAAAGGAAGAGAGGAGCAGCAAGGAGTAAAAGCTACAGAAAGGGGAACAGATTGTCAAGAAAGGATTCCTACCACACAGTTCTAACTCACTTGGTACATCAGAAGAAGCTCAGTGCATCACCTTCCTCCTGAAAAACCCATAAATTAGTTTTACCTGTTCTCTTTGTAAGATACTGAGCTGTACAACACATGAGGTTATGCTTTTCCTCCAGGACTGTGTTCCTGTGAGCCATGAAAAATCGATGTTGTGAAGCAGTTAGTCACAGATGTGCAAGTCCTTCTCATGTTGCTGTTTTTGTTGTGTGGTAGCTTGTGGGAGTCGTCTTCTTCTTTGGCGATCACTCGTAGCCGAGTAATATTGCCTTCCATGAACACGGTCTTAACAGTGAGTCTGTAAGTGACTGTGGAGGCCAATTCTGGATCCACACATCCTTCCACAGTGGGGACATAGGTTTCCGCGTGAGAGTTGATCATGGTGAGGGTTTTCCAAGTGTGCCTTCCTCTTAGCACGTTTCCTTTCATCCTGAGTTCAAGTGTCTTCAAAGTCAATGGCTGCTCTCCAGTTGGAGAGTGTTCACAAGCCAGTGTTTCCCAATTCTCGGTGTTTATACTACATTGTTTTAGATTTGCCTTGAGAGAGTCTTTAAACATCTTTTGTTGACCACCAGCATTAGCACTATGCTTTCCATTTTTAAGTTCGGAACAGAGTACTGGTAGTTGCTTTGGAAGATGATAATCAGGCATCCAAACAACATGACCAGTCCAGCGAAGTTGATCAAAATCAATAGTGTTAAAAGATTCCCTATTTTTTCTTTCATTCATTATTTGTAGGCTCTCCTATATGTAGGTTACACTGGTTAGAATATACATTGATAACCCATAACAATCCAGTTGTTTCAAGAGTTTCATAGTTTGGCTTCTAACATATTGTAACACCAAAGGATAAACTTCTAGAGATTTAATCAGTAAATTTAAACTGTGGTGAAATGTCACGGGTCCCTGCATACTAGGACAGAATTCACAGCATCATAAAGTTGGAAGGGACCCTGATTATCATCTAGTCCAACCCTCTGCAATCCAGGAATATGCAGCTGTCTCATATGGGGCTCGAAACGGCAACCTTGGTGTTATCAGCACCATAGTCCAACCAACTGAGCTATTTATGCCTGCTGTGAAAATGGCAGCGAGAATCTTACATGCATACAGCTGCTATTTCTATGCCAGTCTACTGGAAAATGAAGGAAAGACTAGCCCCTTGATATATCCACATGAGGAACAAGGAATGGAGTCACACTTCTGCCCTACTGTCACATGTCTAGACTAGTCTTTTTTTAAAAATAATAATAATATTTATTAATAATTTAAAAGTTACAGAAAAGAAAGGAAAAAATTAAAAACAACACTACAATACATAAAAAAAATAAAAAAGGCAAAACATAAAAACATATGCAACAGTACAGCAAAAAGAAAAAAAAGAAAGGAAAAAAACCACAAATCCCATATTACAGATCTTTAACTTCCATTTGTTTGTTTCATTGACCTCCTCACACCTCCCTTTTTGTGTTCTAGTTTGATTAGTTATTTCAGCAAATTCTTTCCATCTTTCTCAATTTTTTGTTAAATGATTTATCTTAACAATTTAACCTATTAATTAACTCAACAAATCCTTTCCATTTTTCCCCATATTCTGTTATTCAAATTACCTTAATTTATTTACCCTTATCTTACCAAAAAAATACTTTAAAGCTTAAAGCTTAAAACTCGATTATACATAACTCCTGATATCATTTCTACTAGAGTCATATAGTTTCATTCCAACATTTTCCCTAATATTCATTAATTTTAGACTAATTCCCTAGGAAAAAAAATTTCTTTATAAATTTTCTTCCAATCTTCATCCAACGTCTCTTCTTCCTGGTCTCGGGTCGTGTCAGTCCTTACTGTCCATTCCATCTAGTCCATCAACCTGGTGATCTTATGTCCGAGGCCCTTAAGTCTCTTCCATGTCCCTTCTGCAGATCTTCTTCTTGTTGTTTATACTTGCACTTTTCCTTGTCTTTTGTTGGTCTCTTTCTTAATTTCTTTCCTTTCTCATTGAGGAGTAGGGCTCTGGGGGATTCCAACCCAAAATTATCTCCGTCTCCCTTCATCAAACCAGCCCATTCCCCACAGTCCCACTCCCCACAGTCATCAATGTAGTCCAAAAAATATTTAGAAGCATATTTCAAAGTCTCTCCAAAGTTAAAAACCTCCTCAGCTCCAGACTCCCCCTGGCCCACTCCAACTTCAATCTTCAAAGACAGCGGCTTATGCTCCTGTAGGGCCTCGGGTCTCTCCATTTGTATTATTTGAGGTGCAACCGCAACCTCCTCCATTATCTTCTGCACTTGCCCAATCAGTACAGGTTCCTAAGTTGGTCCCTGAATGATTTCTGTATCAATATTTCCTGTTTGTTCACAGTTATTAACCACAACAGTCATCAAATCCATTTTCTCATTCATCAAATCCATCTTCTCATGCATCTGTTCCAACAAAGCACTTGTCTTGCATAAAGCAAGCACCAAAACTTCCTCCCAGCTCATATTTGGTCAAGGTCAAAAAGGACTGATCCCACGATCTTAATCTGACAGCTGTAGAGTCCTCAAGTAGACTGCAGCAACAATTTAGCAAGCTCCCTCTAGAGGAGACAATTTCTATTTGTATCCATTTTTTAAGGCAAGTCCAACAAAGGAAAATTACTTTCATTTTTCAGATATTTTGTTTCTTTAGAATGCAAAAGGCAACATTGGAATCAGTTTATTTCTCTTCTTTAGCTATCTGTCAAAGTATTCCATTCACAGTCAGTGAACCTCTCCAACAATTTCTGTCTCTGACACCCCGTTCCCAGGTTAGAGACGGTGGAAACTTATCTTTCTTCGCTCCCTCTCCTGCAGGCGTTAAACAAAGTCCCCCCCCCTTTCTCCTGCTTCCAAGGGGGTTTCAGTAGTTTTAAATGAAGGAAATTTAGACTTTTTTAACGACTTTCCAGGCTTTAGCTTACAAGGATTTTGCTTCAGTCTATATACAAAAAGCGGAAGGCGGACTTCCTGTTTTGAACCTTCCCGCTTCGGTGCCAAATTAAGATATTTCTTGATAGAATTTTCCGTTTCTACTCACGGGTACTTGTTTTAAATCCAATTGTCACACTTCCGGGTTAGCGCCATCGCCGAATGGCGGACTCCCTCCGAGCTCCGGAGGGAGTCTGCTCGGCAGGGGCTGGGTCCTACCGCGCCGGCGACGCGGGGACCCTTAAAAACCACGGGCACGGAGTCCGTGGACATGGGTGACTCGGCTTGCACCATTAGCGCCCTCCCGACTCGTGAAGGAGCCTTTTAAAGGCTTCGGATCGGGTGCCGGGGAGTGGCGTGGTGCTTTGAGTCCACTGCTTTCCTGCCGAGCGCAGCCGCATGCCATTCGACGGAGAGCGCTGACTTCTTCTATTGAAAATTTGGACTATTAACAACAACCCGTGAGTAATTGGGAAACCGGGTTCAAAATTTTGGATTTGGCACGAGCGGGGCGATTTAAAAGGAAGTCAATCCCCCCCCCTATTGTAAGCATTCCAAAACAAGGACTGGGTAACCAAGGTCCAAAGGGAAGTATGTCTCTGATAAAAATCATTAATTTCACGATGGGAAATTATAAGAAATGTGCTGGAGGAGAAGAGTGGAGGGTGAGAAGAAAAATGCAACTCCCCCCCTGGGAACCGGGGCGATTCGTGGAGCCTGGTGAAGAGAGACGGAGACTTTGACAGCTGTCAAAGTGGCTGTCAAAGCTGGAGAATATAAAGAGGACTTTGTTATGAGGACCTTGCTGGTTAATTTTGTTACAATTTGCTATAATATGGATATAAACTGTTGGAAAATAAGCAACAATTTGACTTTTGGATTAGAGGATACAAAGTTATTACAATCCCCTAGAGGGGTTTCGGGTTACTACAATAACGGTCGTAAGTGGAAAAATACCCTGGGATTCGCACAGGATTTGTTATCTTCTGGGAAAGCTGCAAAACTGAAAGAGTATTTTGTCTACAGAGGAAGACAATGGAAATTTTTATTGAAGAAAGAAAGGGACTGGACGTAAGTTTTTGTTCCTGAATAACAAACCTCTGCAGAGACACTAGATTTCTGAATTAGAAAGTTTTAGCAGCTGAACAGGACAAGAAACCTGAGAAAGTGAGGAATAAGAAGAATAAAGGACTGATTACTGTTGGTTTCTATTTCCTTCACTGAGCAGCAACTGCAGTCACAAGACATTGTTTTACATTCCACAGTCTGTACTGTTGGAGTTTCTCACGGGAAAGGGAGACTGGATGTGACGTACACTGGTTTCCTGTTTTTCACTCTGTGTGATTCTCTCCAAGCTGTCGAGGAGAGAGGATGCATTTTTCTGCTCTTGCAGAGGCAAGATGTCTTTCTGTAATATACCAGCTTTGAACTGTAAATAAAGCAATATAGAGTATGTATCACATTTTCCTCATCCTTCCGCTGGGCACGACAGACTCTGCTTTAAATCAACACGTGGTTATGGGCCCAGAGGTCGAATCGGAGTGCCGGCAAAGGATCGGAATGCAGAGGGACGGATCGGAAAGGAATCTGCTCTGCGCGTAGAAGTGATTGATGAGGTATGTGCTACTGCTCCGGGCAGCCTGCCAGCTTCAAGATAATGGCTTTATGGCTGGACTTTGAACTTTTAAAGCCGGTTTTGCCGGGAATAGGCAAAGGCTCCCAGGCACAAGTCACTATGCTGGGGAAATCGAAAGTAACTTTTAAGTGTGCCTTTGTAATAAAGCAGCTGCAGCAGTGACGCAGCAAGATTTAAAGCAGCATATAATGACGCTGAAGGCTAATGCCAGAGTCATGATGGCCCTTCAGGATGCTTGTGGGATTCCTAAGCTCAACAAGACAAATTACAGCGACTGGGTTCAGTATGCAGAGGCAATTCTGCGGAAAGAGGGTTTGTTTGAGGTGATTACAGAAACCCCCCCAGTTCCAGTTACAGATGCATGGGAAGCTAAGGATTCCAAAGCAAGGGGAACTCTTACATTGATAGTATCCCCAGAAGAGCTCTGTCTATTGCGTGATAAGACCTCAGCCAGAGAAATTTGGGACGCTCTGAGAGAGGCTCACTTAAGGACAGAAGCTGGATCCACTATGTTTTATTTTAACAAGCTGCATAATATGGCTCTTGCTGAAGGTGGAGATGTGCGTTTACATCTAATGGAGATGCAAAATCTGAGACATGAGCTGCAACAGAGAGGACTCAACTTTCCAGAGGCTGTGTATTCTTTCATGATACTACAATCTTTGGGTTCAGGTTGGGAGTCTGTTGCAACCCAGATTGCTGTGCAACCAACTGCTCAGCTGACAGTGGACTTTGTTACTGCCGTGATTTTAAATGAAGCAGATCGCCGGGGTGCTAGCTGCATGGGCAAGGGAGAGTCTTCACAGACGTCATCCCATAGTGCAGTGGAACCACCAGATGGCGCCAAAGCTCTGAAGGCAGTGAAGTGCTACTCGTGTGGACGTCTAGGCCATATGAAGAGGGAATGCAGACATCCCAGGGCCAAGACAGAGCAGCGCAGCGAAAGCTCATCGCGCGGAAAAGGCCGAGGCAAAGGCAAAGGTCCGGTGTCTAGGACAACGCAGCACAAGGCTATGGTTTCACGCTTCACTCCAAAGGTTGCAGAGGTCCAGAAGACGTCTAGATCTTTCTTCGTAGTTGATTCAGCGGCCACCCACCACATGTGCAACGATAAGAAACTGTTTGTGTCTTTTACACCGCAGGAAGGTGCGATTCACCAGGCGGATGACCACACTATTCCCAGTAAAGGCTACGGAACTGTTGTTCTTCACAGTTTGGACTTATCGATACAGAATGTGCTTTACGTGCCAGACGCCAAACATAATCTGCTCAGCGTTGGACAGCTGAATGAGCGGAACATTGACGTTTCCTTCAAGAACAAGAAGTGCATCATCACAAAGAAAAATGATTATGTATTGCATGCAGAATATGTTGATCATTTGTTTGTTTTGTATTATGATGATGTGGTGCAGGATGACACTTGTTGCATTGCAGGTTCTAACAAAAGTTTGCATGCAGAATGTATTCACGATTTTCATCGAAAATTTGCTCATTTGCATTTTGAGGCAGTATCTAAAATGCCTGCCTTGGTTGAAGGTATGACTATTAAACCCTGCAGGTACCACATGAAGTGCAAAGCATGCGCAGCAAACAAGGTGAAAATGGCTGCGAAAGGTAAGGTGTCTAGTAGGAAAGCTACAGAACCATACCAGGTTGTTCATGCTGATTTGGTTGGACCACTAGCGCCCTCTTTGGGTGGAAATAGGTACTTCATGGTTCTCATTGATGCATTTTCTAGATATATTTTTGTGTACAATCTCAAGCAGAAATCGGAGGCTTTTCCTAGGTTCAAGGAATTCTGTGCTTGGTTGGAAAATGTGCATGGTAAGAAGATAAAGACTCTTTTCAGTGATCGCTGGGGAATTCACTTCTCAGCAGTTTGAAGCTTTTCTGACTGAGAAAGGAATTCAACACGATTTGTCTAGTCCTCGCTCGCCATGGCAGAATGGACTTGCGGAACGGGCAAATCAGACATTGCTTCAAGGGTTAAAGACCTTGCTGCATGATGCCAATCTTCCAGAGAGTTATTGGGCCGAATCTCTCTCGTGTTTTGTTTACAGTTACAATCGCAGGTTATCTTCAGCGATTGGTTGTACTCCTATGAGAAGATGTTTGGCAAGAAGCCATACATCAAACACATGAAGATTTTGGTTCTGACATGTGGGTTCGCTCACCACAAAACTCCAAGTTAGACAAGCGTGGATTGCATGGTATCTTTCTAGGTTATCAGAAAGGGTCTTACAGAATAATGATGACTGACTCTAAGACAATTAAGCTCACGAGAAGTGTTGAGTACAATGCAAAGTGGGGAGAATGTGGGAATTTTCCAATGTTATCCTGATGACGGTGATGAGACTGAGGATAGTCAAAAGCAACCACAACAACCCACACCCACTGATGAAGGTTCTGAGTCTGAATCTGAAACTGAATCGGGTGATTCAGAGGATTTCAAGAGTGCGAAAGCCTCTATGCGACCCTCTGAAAGCTCTGATCAAGAATTGGAGGAACCATTGTTCACAATAGGTCGTTTTTCTCCTAAGAAGGAAGAGGAGAGTGTTGAAGACTTAAGGCTAATTCGTAGGTCACAGAGAGCCACAAAAGGCAAACCTCCAAAGAGATTTGCTGATGAGTTTGCTAAGATAGCAGTAACAGCTGTTAAAAGCTCCAAGAAGGTATTTGAACCTTCAAGTTTCCAAGAAATCCAGGGTTTGGATTCAAAGGAAGCTGAGCCATGGTTAAATGCCATGAAGGCTGAGCTTGATTCCTTAGAAAGGAACAAAACATGGGAGCTAGTTCCAGTAGTTCCAGGAATGAAACTGCTTGGAAGCAAATGGGTCTTCAAAGCGAAGACAGATCAAAATGGCAAGATAGTCAGACACAAAGCCAGATTGGTAGCCAGAGGTTTTGCACAGGTACCAGGTGAAGACTATCACGAGACCTATTCACCCACAGTGAGATATGAAAGCATTAGGCTTATGCTCAAGCTAGCTGCAGAGGAAAATCTACACATTAGTCACCATGATATTAATACAGCTTTTCTGTACGGATCTCTAGATGAATCACTTTATATGCTTCCACCTGATGGCGTACAGGTAAAACAGGGATTTGTTTGTGCTCTGAAGAAATCCCTTTATGGTCTCAAACAAAGTGCACGGTGTTGGCACACAAAACTCACTGAAGTATTGTTTTCTCTAGGTTTTCAGCAAGGGAAAGCTGATCCATGTGTATTTGTCAAAGAGGAGGGGCAAAAGAAACTGTACTGTTTGTTTTATGTTGATGATTTATTATTCTTTTGGAAAGATGTCGCAATGTACAATAACGCCCTAGCTCAACTGAAAGAGCACTTTGACATGAAAGATCTTGGTGAGGTAAACAACTACCTATCTCTGGAAATAGAGAAAGATCAAGATGGTAACATTCTAGTACACCAGTCACGGAAAATTGCTGATGTGTTAAGCAAACTAAATCTGATGGATGCTAACCCTGTAGACACACCGATGACAACAGGTTATCAGGTAGATGACACTGAAGAAGCATTTTCTGACACTACACTGTACAGGAGTGTGCTAGGCAAACTAAACTTCATTGCCAGATGTTCAAGACCAGACATTGCTGTTAGCTGTAATTTGCTAAGCAGACAAGTCAACAATCCTAGTGTCAAGGATTGGAAAGCTCTGAAACGCATAGCGCGGTATTTGAAAGGCACTATGCATTACAGACTGAGATTTAACAATCAGAAGTCTGGTGGTCTTGAGATATTTGCAGATGCAAGTTTTGGAAGTGACGCTCCAGACGGGAAAGGTACGTCTGGAGTTTGCTACATGTACAATCAGGGTCCTTTTGATTGGTCATGCAAGAAGCAAACAACAGTTAGCTTAAGTACTTGTGAAGCTGAACTAAATGCACTGTCTTATTCACTTAAGGATTGTGAATGGTTAGTACAATTGTGCAAAGATATGAAAATTCCTGTCAAATGTCCAATCCAGGTTTACCAGGACAACAAAGCATGTTTGGCTTTGCTGAAGTCTGAAGGTTGTAAGCAAAGCACAAAGCACTTGCAATTAAAGTTGCAGCATGCTAGGGAATGTATTCAGAAGGGACTCGTAACGGTGTCCTATATGCCAGGTAATGAAATTCCTGCTGATGTATTGTCCAAGATTGTATCAAGGGATCAACACTGTACCTATGTGCAGAAGTTGGGTTTGTACTGATATTGTACGAACACGCTGCCCAGTGATGTTCACAGAAAGGGGGAGGATGTTGGTTTCTATTTCCTTCACTGAGCAGCAACTGCAGTCACAAGACATTGTTTTACATTCCACAGTCTGTACTGTTGGAGTTTCTCACGGGAAAGGGAGACTGGATGTGACGTACACTGGTTTCCTGTTTTTCACTCTGTGTGATTCTCTCCAAGCTGTCGAGGAGAGAGGATGCATTTTTCTGCTCTTGCAGAGGCAAGATGTCTTTCTGTAATATACCAGCTTTGAACTGTAAATAAAGCTATATAGAGTATGTATCACATTTTCCTCATCCTTCCGCTGGGCACGACAGACTCTGCTTTAAATCAACAATTACGACACGGAAAGAACAACGGGAGGAGTGGTAAAGATCAAGGAAATTAAAGGCCTTTGTTAGATTGGACATTTGAAGTTAAATATTATTTAAATTAATAAACTAAAAGAAAACCGGCAAGATGGAATCGGGGAGAAATATGGTCATGAAATGAAATCAATTGTCCACAGGAAAAAGTCAGCGCTCTCCGGCGATGGCTGTGCGACTTCACTCCGTGAAAGTAGCAATCAGTTCGCAGCACCGCGCCGCTCACCCCACTTCACTCCAGAGCCCCAAAATGGGGTTCCCGGTGAGTAGGGGGGGCGCTCCTGGTGCCCTGCCGAACTCCACGTTCCCAGGCTTCCTCCTCCTGGGATTTCTAGTGGGTTCCCACCTTCGCCGCGGCGGGAAGACCCAGTTTCCACGGAGCCAGTTCCTTCGGTCGGAGGAACTCCGCCATTCGCCGATGGCGCTAACCCGGAAGTCCCATGTCTAGACTAGTCTTGCCCTTAGTTGTCTACATGCTGAGCATGGCCATCTGGCAGAGAACCCCAGTGTATGAGCAGGTGTTCACACCTATGTGTTCCCTTCCTATGTCCATGCTCAAATGAGTGGCTGTGAAGGGCAGAGCTGGCCTGGTCTTACAACACCAGGCGCACAACCTAATTCCTTGTTCTATGGGTGTGCCTCTGTCACAGATTTAACATCACTACTGTGGAGCAGAGTAGTCATTCCCCTCCCCTCCCCCTTCAGCAAGTGTTCTTTGAAGAAAGGCTGAATCGGGGCATTTATTCCCCACAGTTGCCAGAGAAACCACCTTCCTCTTAAAGTCAAACCATGAAGGAACAGCTAAATTTGCTCTCACTCACAAGGACCTTAGTGTCACACTAATACGGATTTTGAAAGGCAGCTTAATTTTATTCATAGTTTCAATGTTTTTGCACCATCCTTTTTAAATATGTCACGTTTGAAACAGCAATAACAAAACCTAAGGAATCTGGTTTGGGGGGAAAGCTGGTTTGGGGATTATTTGTATGGAATATATTTTTCACATTTCTCGTTTGATTTTGTGGTGCACTGCTGCTGATCCAGTTTCTAAGCAATACTATAACCTCATTGTTTACATATTGACTAAAGGGTGAACATCTCAAACTTCCTCTTTAGTGGAGACGGGAACCATATTCTCCTTGTATATATCACACACATACACCATTAACTAAAATTAAACTGTGAAATAGATCAACAGCTAGAGGTCTTGGCGCTCTGCTGGTGGCACTAGAATGTCTAGCAGTATTCAAGAGATGGCATAAAATCCATTTATGAATGGCAGTGGCTATGCACATAATTTCCCACCTCCTGCTGGACAGTGATGAAGGAGGATGGGGCCTTCCTGCCAAGTTTTCTATTCATGTTCACTTTCAAGTATGCAGTTCTGCCAATTTATTTAATTAAGAATTTTAGCCTCTGCATTTGTTAGCCATAATGAGAACAGAAAGCTGGACTAGATGGGTCTTTGGTGTGATCCATTAGGGCTCTTCTTGTGTTTACTGTGAAGCTTTCCTAACCCATTACACCAAAATAATAAATGCCAGGATTAGGCACAGTGCATTTTTGTTTTTAATAAGACTACATTGTTAGTGTTGAATTAATAAATGTGTGTGTTCGCATTCCTGTTATTCCTAATTAATTACAAACTGATAGTACCACCTCATACCGTACATCTCTTGACAGGTATAGCTGCATAATCTAGTGTCCAGCAAATATGCATTGAAAGGCTGTGTTACCTTGGTAATTAAAATGTAAGTGTTTTAATTGACTGACATTTTGCAGAAATGGTAATAGATAGTGCACTGAGCCATCCTGAACCCCCACAAAAGGCTGGCTGGGTAAGAGGGTGGAAGTGCTATTGGTGGTGCCACTCCATCAGCAAAGATGGTGGAGCAACATGTTCAGCCCAGACCCCCCTCATGCCTGTGAAAAGCTCCACGGATGTAGAGCTGCCATCAGTGGTGCTTCCACCAGAAGTAGGGACCAGAGGAGGAATTCCAGGGGCATCAAGGCCTTGCTGGAGGTGGCCTTGGATCTACTACCTCCAAATACAATAAACAATGAAGAAGATACTATATTTAAAAAGATATGCCCTCCCTGATCACTATTACATCAGGAACATAGGAAACATCCTTAGACTACATCAGACTATTTGTCCACCTAAGAACATTAAAAGAGCCTGCTGGATAAGACCAATGGCCCATCTAGTCCACCATCCTGTGGGATGCCTATGGGAAATCCACAAGCAGGACCTGAGCACAATAGCATTTTCTCCTCCAGTGGTTGCCAGCAACTGGTATCAGAAGCAGTGCTGCTTCCAATTGTGTAAGCAGAGCCTAGCCTCTCTGGGCTCTTTCACTTCACCTGTTATCTTACTTTGTTTTGTTTTTACTGGATATACCAGAAATAGTACCTACGACTCTCTGCATGCAATACCTGTGCTTTACCGCTGAGCTATGGTCCTTCATTAGTATATTGTATACACAACTGGCTGCTTATGCATACTATTAGACATGTGCAGCCCCTCCCATAAATACAACTTGGCACTTGCAGCACAGCTGACAACATGTAGGCGTTGGCAGCAGGAAACTCCCCCAGCGAACAAGGGAGACACATGGCAAGTGACTAGATCCATTTCCACATGTGTGACTTCGTTGGACAGAAAACTGTACTTCTTGTGTCATTTTCTATGCCTTTGGGTGGGATTCTTACTAAATGATCTATTTTGTAACATGCTAAATGCTATGATGAAATGTGTGCCATGTAATCAGGTGTAGAATATATCACCTTAATCTGCAGGTAAATTCTTTTTCCCCCTTTTTTTTTGAGTGGAGATGGACAATTATAAGCATCGTTATTTTAATTTGAAATTACATTGGTATAATAAGACTGTTAGCATGTCACTACAGTGGAATTCATCAAGAATTTTAATGATAATAATTGGAGATAACTTTAGAGCCTTACCTAATTCTGATTCAGTTCATCAACTTCCAGTATGTTTCCATGTGGCTTTTTCACAGACCAGTAACACTGGGGAGTCTTAACCAGTTACCTCCAAGGTGATTCAACCATCCAGATAGGCAGAAATAACTGAATCATGGGGTCCCTTTTTCATGGAGCAAATCAAACTAACTTTGGAAAGGGGCATTGTATTATATTACTGACAGACTAGATGGGCCTTTGTTTGTCAACAGTCAGAATCTTAACAAAATTTTCAACTATAGTAAGAGCCTATTGTACCTGCACCTCATTTTGCTGAAAAAGTGCTCTCTCTGTATATTTCAACTCATTAATTACATATCCTAAATACATACTTGATGCACAGTGTTGCTTTCTTTATATGTTATTTGTTAATTTATGTGACATGCACAGACTTAAAAAAAGAAACCAAACATCATGTTTTAAAAATATAATGAAGCCATCAAGTTTTACTTTCCTTTATTATTGTTGGCAGAAGGGTTCAGCATTGTTCCATTTCATGTTGGGGGGAAAGACACCTTAATAGGTCTCCCTTCATTCCCTTTGTTTCTCTTTTATGTCAGCTAAAAGGTATCTTGCACCGTAGTACCAGATATTTCCTTTGTTCATACTGACAAGGTTTTTTTGTGTTACAGGAAAATGACAGCGATAAACGGCTTTCTGACACTGGCAGCAGAAACAATGCTTTTGGGTAGATATGCTTGTCTTCCACACACAATGTGCTGTTTGAGACCTTTGCGGGGAATTGTTTTGAACCCAAAACAAAGCAAAAGAGGAAAGTGATGGGCTGTGGGAGGAAAACAGGTTAGTCATAATTGGCTTGACATAACCAGGAGCAATTCTGTGCTTTGTATGCATGTGTTTGTTATTTTTTTAGGGCTGAATTATGAGGGTCCTTAAACTTGAGTTTGTTTCAGTTTCCCTTCCTGATGACATCCTGTTTGTGTAAGTCCCCAGGTGTGTTTTCTCCAAATGCCATTGACCTTAGCTTTTTAAAGCTGCTATAAGTTTGCGATACACATTTGGGGGTGGGGGTGGGGAGTGACATCTCCCATTGTACTAGTAAAAGCAGACAAGATGCACTTACCTATTTCAAAAGCAAGACAGACAAACAAACCCCAATCAAAAACATATATCCTGTCAAAATGTGTATTTATTTATTGAAATTGCATCATGCTCTACCTTCCAAAGGAGTCCAGGGCAGCAAACACATCCACATTTCTTTTTTATTAAAAAAAGCATTCTAAAATAGATATAACATTCTGAAAACAAATACAATTAAAAACATTATATCATCCAGTTATATCGGGGTTGCCAGTAACATGATTCTTCAGCCACCAAATGCCTGCATAAACAGGAATGTTCTCAAAATCCTCCTGACAGTTAATAATGATGTGGGCAAAAACACCTTACTAGGGAGGGCATTCCACAAATGGGGAACCACCGGTAAAAAGGCCCTGTCTGGGCTGCTGCTGGGGGTAGATGGGTGTTACTAACAATGTGAACAGTTACAACTTTCAAAGTATCACAAAACCCAAATGCATTTTGACTGTTGTCTTTCTCTGTGGTCTCTGGTCTATGCAAGTTCCGCAGAACAAATTGGTCAAGTGAGTGTGCTCATTAGCATTTGCCCATGTGTGGTAAAGTCCAATTTCTATGCATGGTGTTAAGTTGAAAGCCAGAATTTGAAATGCTTTTTCCTGCGCCCATATGTTTATTTGAATAAAACACCATCTGAGGTCTTTCTTTGTGTGCCTCCGACATAAGAGTTTTGGAGTGTGGCAACATGAGAACGGGCCTTTTCTGCAGTTATACACTTCATTATACACCTTTGGGCACCAGGGGAAAATGTTCCTCTTCAACAAGGTCTTTGACTGATTACATCTGATACGTTGTTAAATGTGTTGTGAGAGAAGGGTAGGAGGCATTATTGGGGGGGGGGTCTAGTTTTTATTATGTATTTTGTGGTTTTTTTATATTGAGCTTTCACATTTTGAGCCGCCACATGACCTATGGATGAAGGCAGCTTCCAAATTTAAATAATTAATTAATAATAGAAACGGAATTTAGACCTTTGCTGCTGTATCACATTGATTATCTAAGGACTGACTGAGAAATTTTGGAATAATTTCAAAATTCCAAATAATAATTTGGAATTTTGGAGTGCCCCAGTCCTACTCCAGAAAGAGATGTGCAGCATGGACCTATGCATGTTTACTTGACAGTAACACTCACTTGTTATTATGTTATATTATATTATAATATGTTATATTATGTTATATTATGGGGTCACGAAGAGTCAGACATGATTAAATGACTAAACAACAACAACAACAACACTTGCTTGTGCTCTATGGGACTTAGGACCAGTCTTAGGAGCCACAAGTTCACAAGCAGCACATGCATCAGAATTGTGGTGTGTGTTTAGATACATTGCATTGCATTTTGACACCATTTATTTTTAGTTTCTATCAATACTAAAATATAATGAGAACCATTGCTTACTGGAATTGTGAACATGTACATGTATAATTCTATGATTCAATGCAGATCAGTCATTCTAAAAGTTCAGCATGAGTTTAGAACTCGTACCTGTAGGACCTGTTTGTAAAAAAAACTTGATGCAAATTAAGATGCTCTATTTCACATTAATTTCTTCACATTTTATTACTTCAGGAAGTAATATTAAATATATGTTGTGCTTCTTCAATATATGCTAGCTACGTATCTTGGTTTCAGCACACGCAACATGAGAACAAGATTGGATAAACAGGTGTGCCGATGTCTGTTTATCTCACACAAAACGCTTTTCACAGACACTCAATAAGGCTTTATCTTCCTGCAAGATGGATAGGGAAGAAAATGCACATCACAATCTCCACATTGCAAAGTGATGAATCAGAACTCTGGACAAATCAATTTGTTGTTCTTGGCATTTGATCTATCTCACTTAACCGATGAGCGAGATCTGGCCTCTTTTAAAGGGCAAATTAGTGAGTGAGATACAACATCAAGTACTAAATGTACATGTCTAAATAACATAAGACTTATCTCCATTTTCTCGGAGAAAATGAATTGAGGTGGGGGGCATACCTATTTTTTGTCATTGAATGAAAGAACTGTGCCAGTATCTTTAAAAATACTCTTAATAGAATCATTATTTTTACATTGATCCAATGGAATAAATTATGACTAGGGGGGGGAAACCCCATCTTTCCCCCATCTATATCACTTTCTCATGTTTTTACTCATTGTTTCATTTCTTCATTGATATGTAATTTAATGTGACTTTTCTCGAAATGAATGTTTAAATTAAAGTGCATATTTACATGCATATTTGTATAGCTTTGAACAGTGGATAATTTTTATCATTTCTGTATTTCATTTTTGTTAACAGCTTAGAGATGATTGATATACCGCTTAACTACAATTGCTTAAATAAACCAAACAAACACACACAAAATTGTTGGGCAGTTAAGCTCCAACCACACAATAATCCATGATGTGGGGACCAGGTCATTTTATATAGAAACTTGCAAATACTGAATTCATCAAGCATCAGTTGGATGGACCCCAAAAGCAGACTGTTTAAGAGCATCACATAGATCTCTGTAAGAAGCAAGATATAAATGTAAAAAATAATTAGAGGCAACTTCATTAAATCAATGTTTTGTCATTGGGTATACACTTGCGTGGGAGTAAGTCCCACTAAATTTAATGGGGCTTACTTCTCCATATACATGTGTAGGATTATGCTGTAAATCAAATAATTGGAAATTGGAAGACTGGTATTTTCTGATCACATAAGAATTTGGCAAAACAGCATTTAGTTTTTGAATATTTGCACACAAAGATCATATTGAAATAACTAGTTAATTAAAATAAAGAAGCAAAATATCTCCTTTTAAGTTTGATTTCTTAAATTATTAAAATCTATAATCTGTATTTAATAATAGTAATATAAATTGCTGTTTTTTCCCCCATCCATTTTCAATACACATGCTTTGGGCTGACATAGCACAATACTGAGGTATTAAAATAGCATTTATAATAGTTATATCTTAAAGTTTGTATATCATTAGAAAAAGAGAGAGAACATGCCACCAACTCTATTTCTCCAAAACCTTTTAATGATGTGATTAAAACAGCAAGAACAAATATGGAAGTTGCCATTATTTTTCTAATGCTGTAATATATATGAATAACTCCCAAAATGTATTATCCCGGATGAGTAAATACTGAACACCATGTGGGTGAATATGTTCACACTACATTTTTGAAATCCCATTACATAATCCAGCTTTAGTTGAAGTATTTGGATTTAGGGTAAATTAACCTCATTATTCAGAACGCGGGTGGAGCTGTGGTCTAAACCACAGAGCCTAGGGCTTGCCGATCAGAAGGTCGGTGGTTCAAATCCCTGCGGCGGGGGGAGCTCCAGTTGCTCAGTCCCTGCTCCTGCCAACCTAGCCGTTTGAAAGTAGATAAATAGGTACCGCTCTGGCGGAAAGGTAAATGGCATTTCCGTGTGCTGCTCTGGTTTGCCAGAAGCGGCTTAGTCATGCTGGCCACATGACCCGGAAGCTGTACACCGGCTCCCTCGGCCAATAAAGCGAGATGAGTGCTGCAACCCCAGAGTCGTTTGCGACTGGACCTAATGGTCAGGGGTCCCTTTACCTTTTTAACCTCATTGTTAGCAATTTGGTATGTAACATTTCAAACACTGAATTTTCACTTGGGTTGTTGTTCACAGGGGAACTCCCTTTATTGTGGCATTTGCCACTTATTTCTAAACTTTCTAGTATACGACAATTGGAGCAGAGACAGGTCATATTTCCATATTAATTCCTTCTCATTCAAGCATTTTTATAGCAGTTCATCAGCGACATTGTTAAAACTTCTGCAGAGGATCACTTTATGTCTACTTTATGCTATTTCTCTTGTACTAAGCTCTTACCACAAAACAACTGTTTAGAAGGTAATACTGAGGGAATTAATAGTGGCATACAGTCATTGGGGAAAGAAATCAATGGGCCTCATAGGACCAAACTAGACATAAGATTAAATTTGTTTTCATTTTATTTATATGAGAATTTCTATCACGTCCTTGTAATGGATATGCATCACTCATGACAGCTTACCGCAAGTAATATCACAGTATCATCATAAAACCACGTTATTAAAAATACAACAGAGGCAAGGAGGTCAGATTAAAAACAAGTAACATATTATCTGACCACGTTATCTGACTGGTAGGACAAAAGCCCACATTAAAGCATTTAATGTGTGTGAATTTTTCAAATAGCTGCCACAGAGTGGTGAGCTGGATTGGGAATCAACAAGTAGACAGAGGGAGTTTAAAACCTCACACCTTGCAATCAACATTGCTCTTTGCATTGACGTTGATGGCAATGACATCTTACTTCTCAATGCAAAAGAGCAAAGTAGGGAGGTGATTTTTGTCAGAATCATGGGAGAAAGGGGGATTAAACTACCCCTCTCTTTCCACTGTGATCTGTACATATCCTGTTAGCCTCAATGAAGAGAGCAGTCGGCCTTATAGAAAGATGTACATTAGCCATAATGCCTTGGGCACCACATCTAGTTGGCCTATAGCCATAGCCTGCCATCAATATTGATTTTCATTAGGTTACAGGGAAGCAAAGATATATTTCACATGCAGTATTTATGCTCCACAAAGGTTTTTGGACCCAAAGTATTTTGCCTAGGGAGTAATTGATATGGAGGTTCAACTAATGAAAACCTAATTACCATGATATATCTTCAAATTCTGTAACTTCAGGTGTTGGGAGTATTAGAGGCTGATTAAAATCAGGAGTCAGTAACTTACACTTAAAATCTTGGCTATAACTCCTGGAGTACCTGCTCCCTGCCTTGCAGGCCTGGGAATCTGGGTCCCTGACTGACTGCAGCTACAGAAGCTGAGGTGGCTGACCAGACTCTTGCGTAGAGGGGTTGTGTGGGTGGGTGGGGTGGTGTTCTGCTGCTGCTGTTATTATTGCTTCAATTGCTTTAAATTGTTTTTAACTTGTGGTGTTTTTTTTTAATTTGGAGGTTTTGTTGTTTTTTTGAATTAGGGAAGTAAATTGCGCCTGAGAAGAGAAGAGCAGGTAATCCCAATAACAAAGAGCCGCTTCTGGTCAGTGTATAAATTTACCCATGGTGGATAGAGAGGAGTTTTCCTCCTCTTATAATACTAGAACCCAGAACATTCAACGAAGCTGAGTGTCAGAAGATTCAGCACAAGGAAAAGGAAGTGCTTCTTCACACAGCATATCGTTAAACTATAGAATCTGCTATCACAAGATATAGTCATGTCTGCCAACAGAACTGTCTTTAATAGGGATAAGACTAGTATCAGAGGTGGCATGCATCTGAATGTCAATTGCACTCATCTAGTTGGCCATTGTCAGAACTAGATGCTGGACTAGAAGGACCTTTCTTCTGATCCAACAGGGTGCTTTTTACATTATTATAAACCACTGAGCCTCTTGGGCTTGCCAATCAGAAGGTTGGTGGTTCGAATCCCCATGACGGGGTGAACTCCCGTTGCTTGGTCCCAGCTCCTGTCAACCTAGCAGTTTGAAAGCATGCCAAAAAAGTGCAAGTAGATAAATAGGTACTGCTCTGGAGGGAAGGTAAACGGCGTTTCCGTGTGATGCTTTCTGTGTTCGGTTTCGGTGTTCCATTGCTCCAGAAGCAGCTTAGTCATGCTGGCCACATGACCCAGAAAAACTGTCTGCCAACAAACGCCAGCTCCCTCGGCCTGTAAAGGAAGATGAGCGCCGCAACCCCAGAGTCGTCTGCTACTGGACTTAACTGTCAGGGGTCCTTTACCTTTTTATGTGTATACGATACTCAACTAGGTGGATTCAATACAAGGTAGCTTCCTAAGTCCCTTTGTTTAACTTTTGATATACACACTTGAGCAGTTGAGGCCACATAGTGATCCACCTCAAGACACCTTATTAACTGCACTATCTGACTCTGAATTCTCAGAATGTGATAACCTTCCCTGAATCACCCCATGAATTCACCATGTATTTTGGGGTACATGCAAAGCCCAAGGCATTCCCCTGCTATAAACAGGACTTCCAATGTGAGAGCAACATCAGCATGTTGCATAAATATAACACTGAGCCTCCATTCCCAAAGCAAGAGCAGATGCCATATTTCAGAAGCTGAGGAGTCTTTTTCTTTTACTATCCATATGTGCAACCCAGATTTGCTGACAGACCCAGTTAATTGGTAGGTAACAAGAAGAGAGATTAGAAAATGACAGGTGGTAGAAGAGTACACATTACAGTATTAACCTATTCTGTTGGAATTGTTTTCAATACTCTTTTGTGAATCACATTTGTAATTATGAAAGAAAACTACTCAAGAAGTCTCAATCACAGCTTTCATAAAAACATACTTAAATAGCTCTTTCCCATCCAGTGTGGTTGAAAGGTAGCTGCACTGATGAGACCTACAGTATAAGTATCATTGACCACTTGCTATCCTTTTGTGGATGTCCATGAGAACTAGAAGCTTTCTCTCTCTCTTTCTCTCTCTCTCTCTCTCACACACACACATTGTTTTAACAGTGGGTTTTCAAAAAGTTGCTTAAATTTTTTTGAACTCTTTCCATATTAGGTTTAAAAATATAGAATCTTATCACTAAAGCAGTAGACAGGATAACATTTTCTCACCTTATCATATCTCACAATCAGCCCCAGAAGGTAACTTATTTCTATTCTTGTTTTAGAGATGGCAAAAAGAGGGGGGGGGGGACAGTTAATTATTAGCTCAAAATGTCATCTAGTGAATGCATGATTTAAGTACCTTGGAATGGATCTCACTGGACCTGTGTTGGATACGTATTCATATTTATTTTGCACACCCCCCCCACACCCCAAAATTTGTAAAAACCAATTTCATGACCCTGAGGAACTTTTAGACTTCCATTTTCTTGAACAGCAGATGCCAGCACCCCCATGGCAAACTGGAGAAAGCGGTTCTGCCACAGTTTACTATTAAATATTGGATGGAGGAGGTTGCTCGGAAAAATGCTTAGCATTTCATTGCTACCTTGAGTCCCTGTCTGGGAAAAATGTGAGATAGTTTTTAATATTATAAATATTAATATCTTAGGATGAGCCCCTGTAACATGGAATTTAATTTTGAAATCAAATTAAAAATACAGGCCAGAAAAAAAGGAAAAATACTACAGACCAATACACTGGTACCTTGTGTTACATATGCTTCAGGTTACATACTCCGTTAACCCAGAAATAATACCTCAGGTTAAGAACTTTGCTTCAGGATGAGAACAGAAATCGCATGGCAGCGGCGCAGCAGCAGTGGGAGGCCCCATTAGCTACAGTGGTGCTTCAGGTTAAGAACAGTTTCAGATTAAGAACGGACCTCCGGAATGAAATAAGTACTTAACCCGAGGTACCACTGTAATGCAAAAATATCACTAAGAGGGAAAAAGGGAGAAATAAACTCATTGATTATAGAAGACTTGTGGAACTGGTGGAATAAAGCCACCTAAGGAGAACCTTGCTAACTATTGAGAGAGCTTGGATGTATGAGCTTTGTAGTCAAACCAGAGTAAGGATGAAAAACACACACTACCCATTCACATTTATAAGTGTATTCAAACATTAATAATAGGAGTTCCATAAACATGTCAAAAAGAGAAAGTATGCATGAGCACAGTAGCCTTTCCCCCATCCCTGTTACCATGTGCATGCAAGGATGAATGTACAGAGGTTACCCCACAGCAAACGTTGAAATCAAAGTGAAGAGGGAGGGCTGTGAAGTTATCACACTCATGCATGCTTTACTCTCTTCACATGTTTATTTAAGCCCTGTTATGAATGCCTGAGTAGGTTTTCTGTTTGAATGGAATGTGATCCGAAGCTTGAAGGCCTTCCATTCTGTCATCCATTAGTTTAGGATATTTCATGCTACCTTTCAGACAAAGATCTCAGGGAGCCATATCTGTTTTCATTACAATCTCGTCAGCTAAGTTAGGTGGACTGATAGTGAACTGCTGGGGCTACTTCATGTGGTGGAGCAGAAATTTGAATGCAAGACTCCCCTATCCAAATCCAACACTCCGCCTATAATACTATAGCAGCTCTGAGCCACATGTAGAAAAATTAATACATGAGATTCTGCCATTTAATAATGGTGCAGAGAATATGCCATCCATAATTATGGGCCTGGCTTTTTTAGCTCTCCATTTTCATTTGACGAGGCTTATGAATGTGTGGCAGCAATAGAATAGGATGGGGCTTTAAGGAGCCTGAATGTTATCAGATCCACTATTCGAAAGCTGGCAGCATCTGCATTTACTGGGTGGTATGCTTGTGTGGGTTCTACTCTACTATCTAGTGTAAGTACATATTAAAGCTGTCTTATATCAGGACAGACTATTTGTCCATCTGTCTCACTGTGGTCTACTGCTCTACTCAGATTGGCAGAAGTTTTCTAGAATCTCAGAACTCTGCTAGCTGACACTTTTGACTGGACATTACAGGAATTAGGTGAGGGACATTTTGCATGTAAAGCATGTGCCCTAATACTGAGCTAGGATTGCTTCCTTTCCTACATGAATGATACAGGACATGACAGTCTTTAGATTCTTTCTGGCCCTCCTCTGTTGCAAGGTCAAAGCGAACAACCCTAAATATAGGGAGGGTGGGACGGGCAATCTGATGCACGGGGCAAAATGAGGAAGCTCTACACCTCGTGCAGGGAGTTTTAGTATTTCTGGCTGTCAATCAACAAATGGCAACATTAACTTCTTCCCAACAACAAAGGAAGCCCAATCACATCTGTGGCCAATGATCAATTAGCCCGCCTCACAACTTTGGAGTGTCCTGTCAGCCCCCACCACAACACATGCTCTCCATGAAGGAGAACACGCTTTGTGACTGCAACCCAGAAATGCACTGAAACATTTCTTTCTTGTACCAAAATTAGGTATACATTCTGCTTGTTTCATTGTTGTGCAAAAAATAAAAGCGGCCTATTAGATTTTCACAGGTTTTTGTTTTGTTTTTTGCTTCTTCCTGTTTTCTCATACTTCACAGTTAACAAGGCATGCGTGCTCACTCTTTTCTGTCACCGACTGCGACTCAACTTGTTGAGCGAAGAAGTTGAGAGTTCTGCAGAAGGTTACCTGCTGCGCTTGAGACAGTAGAATCCATTGGTTTGTTGATTTGGTGTGAATCTCAGCTACAGCAATTATTCCCAAGTTTGTGATCTTGACAAAATGGAACAAGAGGATGACATATGGCTAAGCCACAGGAGCTGAAGGAAATAAATATGAGTTAATAACTTGTGCTCACCATGAAGGATGATTGAAATGTGAAGTATCAGTGCTGCTGCTTCTACTCCTTCTGCTGTTGCTACTAGGATAAAAACATTGACTCAAAACACACTCACACACACAAGGTGCAAAAATGCTACATTAGGAATGCATACGACACCGTGAATGCAATTTGAGGTATTGCAAAATGAATTTATTTTTCTGTAATGGAAATTGGTACCCTCTAACCTGCAGTGGACAAGATAGAAAACTAAGTTATTGATATAGAAATTGCTATATTTCAACTTTCTCATTAACACAAAATAGGCTGTGATGTTGCAAAAACATACAGCTGCATTCCTACATGGTGTATCATGCTTGAACCCAGGACTTTGTACACTTACCTTGCTATAAGCTTCATGGAAGTCATCACAAAATGGCTTCTATGGTCAGCAACAAAAGAAAGAGGTCCCAGTATTCTGTAACATTGAGTACTATCACAAAAAAACACATTGCTTAAACCTATGAGTTTCAAAATAAGAAGTGCATATAATCGGCTTCAACTTGTGTTTGTGTGCATATGTTATAGTTGTACAAAATATGGAAGCTGTTTGTAAACACAATAACATATTTGCAATTCTTGATGATTCATCAATCATATGGTGAATATTTGAAAGTTTAATTGTTCAGCATTCCTCCCATTTGATTATTCACCTGCATATGCATCTCTATGTAGACTCTTCTTGCTAAATCATGTGACAAATGTGTTAAAAAATGAACAATTTCCAAGAGCTTCCAAAGAGCTACTCTTCTGAGTCCAAGGCATTAACCACATCCCTGGACTAGTTGCAGGTAAGAAGGAAGGCAGATGGGGACAACTGAGGTTGGTGAGGCAATTCCCTATTCCTCCTAATGGACCAGCATCCACTGTACAACCAGGCTGTAACCCAATGCTTTTCTTTCAGATTGTGCTTCAAGATTTTGATGGGCATTAAATGTTAAAAACAAGAAAGAAATCACTTGCATATAGGCCATAAATGCTGTAATATAAATTGGACACCGTAAATATCTATACGCTAATACCTATGAAGGAAAAATAACCCCTAATGAATCATTTACTTAGTTTCCCAATTTATGGGTGCAGGTTACAATTTCCCTGATACTCCTTTTTGTGAAAAATGTATTTGATATGTAGCTCATTAGCAGCAATTCATCATGTTGACGTCTGATTCTAAAGTATCCTATTCGTTTTGAGAAGCAGCGAGCTATATTCCATGCTAAATAATCAGAACTCTTAAAAAATGAAAGTTGGCTTAGTGGGCATCAATACCAGATAATGGAAAGGGCAGCATTGTAAGCTGAGTTGGATTTCCTTTCAACCTCATCATAATGATATTTAAAATATTTCGAGGCCATCTTTGTGGGGAAAACATCTCTCATTGCAGCTTATGAAATAAAAACACGAACCCGCCACTCACTAAAAACCAGTAATCATGGGTGGGTGGATGTGTTGTTGGCATCCATTTGTCTTGGGAGACAATGGAGGAGTGTGCTTATGGAAAGGTTGCAGCACCTGTTGTGGCTGTAGAGACCGATGCAGGAGAGACATGTTTTGTTGCAGCTGGGGCAGATGAAGGTGTCCAGTTGTGCTTCTGCAGATGCACCATGGTGTTTCTTCTTTTTTCTTTCCACGCTCCTCTCAGTATTTATTCCTCCTCTGGTCACTGCTATGGATACATGACCTGACTGTTTGTTTCCAGACACTGCGGTCGCCATTTAGCCCATGAGTATTAGAACCAAACAGAACAGGGTGGGGAACCTTTGGCCCTCCAGAGGTTGCTTAAGTTACAACACCCATCAACCCTAACAAGCAATCTCAATGGACAGAGATAATAGGAGCTGCGGCTCAGCCATATCTGGAGGTCCAAAAGTTCCCAAAACCTGCAATGCAAGATAATTAGACAGCCATACAATAAAACAACTCAAGAGGTAGCTGCAGAAGGCAAATGGGCCCTGACGGTTTTTCTAAAGGACCGTAACAACAGTCTCCAACAGACCCCGGGTTCATTCCAATGATGTGGGGCCACTGCAGAAAACATACTGTCCCTAGGACCTGGAATCAATTCATGGAATCTGAAAGCCTGCTCATGACAGAGCTAGACAGTACAAGAAATAAAAATATGCTACCATTATATAATTCTGCGCCCCTTCTCCCCAGAAGCATATTTCATAGCACCACACTGTGAGAGTGTCACGTCACATGCTGAGTTATACTACATGAGCTTGGGAAGAACTGTGAGGCAGAAGCAACTGCCATGTTTTCGGTAACCTAATTTTATGGTTAGAATTACAGGCCATCGTGGTAGCCACTACAAAATTTTAATGGAAAGCAGCCATCATGAAAGGAAGGATTCATGAAAATGAGAGCAGGGGGATACAACTTCAGTGTAGAACCTTAAAGTGATTATTTGTAGATACTCAGAGTATCTCATTTTTACCATCCATCTTCATTGTGATAAGAACATATGAAGAACCCTGATAGATCATGCCAAATTCCTATCTAGTCCAGCAACCTCCTCTCACAGTAGCAGAATACAGCTGTACTATGACTTCCCTTGAATCCACATTATATTTTTGTGGATACATTCTTAGAATCATAGAATCATAGAATCATAGAGTTGGAAGAGACCACAAGGGCCATCGAGTCCAACCCCCTGCCAAGCAGGAAACACCATCAGAGCACTCCTATAGAATCATAGAATCATAGAGTTGGAAGAGACCACAAGGGCCATCGAGTCCAACCCCCTGCCATTCTTCTGATCTACCAAACTTGTAACTCTACCAAAAAATGAAATGAGATTCATCTGATATAACTTGCTTTTGAAAAACCCATCCTGGATCTTGATATTCAACGCATCTAAGTGCTTACAAACTGGCTGTTTAATTACCTGCTCTAGAACCTTTCCTGATATCAACATCAAGCTGACCAGTCGGTAGTTGCCTGGGTCTTCTTCTTTTTCAATTTTTGAAAATGGAAACTACATTCACCTGCCTCCAGTCTGCAGGCACCTCCCCTATTGTCCAAGAATTATCAAATATTATAGGCAGTGGTTCTGAGATTGCATCCACAAGCTCCTTCAGTGCCGTTGGGTGAAGCTCATCAGGACATAGAGATTTGAATTCCTTTAAAGAAGTTAGGTATTTCCTTACCACATCTTTTCCTGCAGATAGGTTGATCACTGCTTTCTTTTGGTTGAAGACAGAGACAATGCCACCCTCTTGGGTCATTTGGTATGAGGAAAACGCACGTTCACACTGATTTTAATAGTTTGAAAATGGTGTTGTGTTTATTCTAGTCCAAAAATAGCTCTCTCCCCAATGTTTTCTGTTTCCCATAATAGTCTCACTAATGGAGGTGCTACATCTATATATAGCAGTCTTTGGGAATGTACCTATGTCTAAGCCAGATGACAGTTTGTGGAATTCAATGTGCTGTATAGTCTATGAATGTTAGATACTCTCATAAACTGAGACACAACATGTGGATTTTAACAAATCCCTGTTCTGTGTGTGAAACTCATAGAACTGGCATGGAAATACTTAGGTATATCACTATTCATAAATTAAAAATAATCTTAGCTATATTTAAATATTTTTGTTTCTACTTTTGTAATCTGCTATTCAAGGGAAATAAAATATGTATATTTCATATAATCAGGCTTTGCTTATTGGTCTTTCTGGCTAAGATGAGAACTCTCTCTCTCTCTCTCTCTCTCTCTCTCTCTCTCTCTCTCATCTTGCCTTAAAAATATATCATCCGTCCACATGCCCTTTTGAGATATAGTTTGATATTTAATAATTAATGCAAGGCTGCCATCAGCTCCCTCTTCAAAACATGTTTTACATTGGGATTTTACCTCTCCATCAGTGGTTATCAAAAGGTCATTAGCCTTATTGTACTTCAGCTATTTAAGTGTCCTTTTGAACTACGTCCTTGAATTTCAGGTCAATTATTCATTGTGCTCAGTGAATGCATAAAATGTTTCAAAATTTGGTCTCTCCATCTTAGGTCAGCAATACAGCATAGTGCATTCCCATTAGATTTCAATAACATCAAGAGCTTTCTCAGACAAAAGATTTAAGCAAATACCACTTCTCAGATGCAATCTAAAAGTATCCTAACTGTTGGCGGTTTTTTAGGAGGCATCATTCCTTCCAAAGAAACTCAAGGCAGAAAACAAAACAAGATGGAATATATATATTTACAGCTTAAATTTTCAGGGTTCCATAAACAATGTGTTTTAATCACCAAATACCTGGAACAACAAGAAAGTTAAGAATAACCCAAATGTTAAAAATGAAGGGAACGGAAAACCTTCACTTCTACAGGAATTCCCTAAGTGGGGGACCACTACAAAGAAGACCTTGCCAGAGTTCAGTTCCATCCAGAAAGTATACAGTGGTGGCATTGCTAATAAAGTTTCTGTTACTGATTGCAAGGCCTGTGATGAATAATGGGAGTTCCTGCTTCATGAAGGTACTTTTTTGTGGAAAAAAGAAACTTGCAGTTGTGCTGTGTATATGCTCCCCAAGGCCCAGGAGTGGGGAAACCTGACCCATGGTCTCCATCTCTTGGCTCCAGCCATTGTGCAGCCATTTGGTTTTTAAAAGCTTCCATTGTTGGCGATGATAGCTTTTTTTTACACACACATAATTGCTGTATTTTCTGGGGGTGGAAGGAGAGTTAAGGTCTAGGCTTTGTCTTCTGAGCTTTCTCAGAAATTGC